AACGAAGCTGTTGGTCGCACGAAACTCACGCAGTTCTTCGAGCTCAACGCGACCAACGTGGTTGCTCGACAATACTTGTACCACGGCATACCGATGCATTACACCTGGCAGCGAAATGTCAAACAATGGCGTCAAACAGTGGTGAATCGGATGACAAACGTTACATTGGCTCGGATGTACGTAGTGAACCCAATGGACCGGAACCGTTTCCACTTGAGATTGCTACTTCTGAACCGAAGAGGCCCGCAGTCCTTTCAAGACATAAGGACGGTTGTCGGGGTCGTTCACGGAACTATAGTGACTTGATAGAGATAGTGTGGCCATGTACGAGAATGTTTTTGATTGGTTTAGATATTTTGCCGCCATTAGTTTCCTATGATAACAACACTTAATTTAAATATAAAATAAGTAGCCAGTCTAAAATCAAATTATTTTTAGTTTTAAGTTAGTATATTGATAAATATTAATTTCGGATTTACCATGTTTACTCCTAATTGTTGTTTTGTTGCTTATTATTTGGTTAACCTTAAAATATTTATAAAAGAACAAATGTTTTTCACTATTCATGGCAGTGTGCAGTGTATTTCTTTAAAAATTATTTTTACTGTTTTAAATCATCATGCCTTGTTGTGTAGCCATCGGGTGTTCAAACTCCGACAAAAAAAGGTATTTAATGAAACATTTTCCCAGAGACCCTATTAGGAAAAAGCTTTGGATGGCCAAAATGAAAAGAGATAAATGGACACCTTCACAACACTCTTGTATATGTGAGGTAAGTTCTAACATTAAAAACTCATCACAAAGTAAAATTTGGTTTTAGATAGTTATAATTTTACTACTTAAAGCAAACAAATTATACTCAAAATAATTTAAATTACTTTATAGATGATAAATTTATTTATTCAAATATATAGAATTAGATAGCTAGGCATAATAGGTACTAATAATTCCATAATTAGGTAGGTATTCTTTAATAAGTTATAAGGTTTTCTGCTAATTCTACTTAACTAAATTCTCAAAACACTTTAATCATTCAATTAGTTAATCCTTATTATTTTGTTTGTTTCCATCATAATAATTTCGGACCCTAGAAAACTATTGTTCTAAATTTAATATAATTGAGTTAAGTACCTACCTATTTAACTCATTATATTTATATATTTATTATTTATTAATTATTATTTAATATGGGACGTGCCCAATTACAATGTATAGTTTACTTAATATTAAAATTTACACAAATAACATAGATCACAGATATTATGGTATAAGGTATAGTGACTTGATAGGGACTCTATCAAGTCACTATAGTATAAGGTACGAACAGATAATAATTAATTTATATTTACTTATTAGTGATTCTTCAATTTATAAACCTAGCTATAGTTACACTATTAAGTCAGTGCACGCCTACCTATGCATTATATTTCTCTAATATAATGTATAAAATATAATTACAAAAGGTTTAGTTTCTTACAATCTACACTATTAAGAATAAACATATTATAATTTGTTTTTTTATTTCATACAGCACCTATCAAAAATTATTTTGTAGATTGAATTTATTAGTAAAGTATTGCTATGTATAAACATACGTATTTTGTAGGTTCATTTTGAAGAAAATATGTGGGAGAAGACTAGGGAAGATGGAAGTCGCCGTTTAAAATGTAATGCTTTCCCAACATTGTTTTCATTTACAAAAATTATAAAACAAAGAAAGCCTCCTTTGGAAAGATCTAATGTTTCACATCCATATCACATCCATATGATTCAACTCGAAAAATTTACATTGTTCCAGATCCAGTACATCTTTTTAAAAATATGAAGAATATGTTGATGACTAACAAGGTTTTAACCATAACTGATGATATAAAAAAAAAATATAACTTGCCCACTCGAGATATTTGTGCGCAACATATATTAGATGTAGTAAACTATCAAAAAAATTTAAAATTCCAATTGGCTCCAAAACTCACCGAACAAGATTTATTTCCGAATCACTTTCAAAAAATGAAAGTGTCTAAATCTACTAATGTTATAAGCCACGATGTCTCTAGTACATTAAGGTTTCTTGCTGAAGAACTACATAAACCAGAATACTTGACTACTGCTTGGTACATTGCAATTATTGATAAATGGTTTAACTTGATGACTTCAAGAAGTCCAGTAATGGCATTAAGCAAATTGAAGCCATTAGTTTACGAAGAGGCAATTTCATTTTTGAATCAATTTATTGATATGAGAAAACTAAAAGTTGGAGGTAAATAATATAAATTTTATTCATAAATCATGGATATATACTTCAATTATAATTTATTGCATTTGTTTTATTTATTTTAGTAAAGACATTATGGAAACCTTCTCAAAGTGGATCAATTCTTGCTACTACATCCATACTACAGCTTCAAGATATTTTTTTGAATGACAAGGGCTTCAAATTTCTTTTAACATCACGATTCACTCAGGATTGTTTAGAGAATCTCTTTTGTGTTTTAAGATCAAAAAATGTTGTACCTAATGCACTGCAGGTAAAAAATAATTTAAAACTAGTTACTGTTTCACAGTACTTAAAAGATATGTCCAATGGAAACTGTGATGAAGACGAAAGGGAATTGTTGTCAGGATTTTTGGATGTCATACAAAAACCTAAAGTGTGCAATAACTTGTCAGAAGTAAAAATTACTGATAAATTAGTTGAGCCACATGTTCTTTTACTAAATAATGGTAAACTAAATTCTCTGTACAATATTTGTGGCTATATAGTACATAGCATTAAAAAAAAGTCTAAATTATGTAAAAATTGTTTAAATTTTGTTGGATCTAATTCAAGTATTGATTATGAGTTCACAAAATTATCTAGGCTAAAACGCTTTAAAAAAGGTTGTTTATTCTTTTGTTATAAAAATACATTTGATTTCTTTTTAAAAATGGAAGGATCTTTCCAGAAGTTTTTTCCTCATATCAAAGACCAAAATTGTGATATTAAGAAGTTTTTAATACAGCAAATGAATAAAATTGAATTTTATATTCCAGAATGTCATAATCTTAGAAAATATATTATAAACAGATTTGTGATTTTTAGACTAAAAATTTCAGGAAGAAAAAAATCAAAGCTCCTAAACAAATATAGTAGCAAGTCTATAGATGCACATGGAAAAAAGTGATTCCATTATTATTATAGTTACTCGTATATATATGTATAATTTCCATTCATAATATTTTAAAATAAATAAAAGTATTAACATAATGATTTTTAATGTATTTTATTCATTCATAGATACCTATCCAATTTTATATGAAAATATGAATTCACTTGAAATTTAATTGTATAAAATTTTAGGAAATAAGTATCTTAATAATTTTGTAATTTAACAATATATAGGTTTTATTGTATTCGAACAACTCATTTACCTCGCCACAAGCTCTACTTAATTGAGTAAATTAAATAATAAAAATACTTTGTACCTATAATAAATGTTAAATCTAAAAGTAATTTAATTTATTATTTAAATAATAATTTGACTATTGTGAAAAAAAATTGAGAAATACTTAACAGAGAACAGTACTGTTTGATATTAGAAAAAAAAAATTATTTATACACTATACCATTATAAATTACATATATGATTTCTCAATCTAGTCATGAATGCATTAATTTATCATTTATTCTGAATTAATGGAATAATTTTCATTTAACAAGTTTTATTCTTTTATCCTGGTTTAATTTAGAACAATGATACATGTTCTCATTTCAAATTTTAATGTTTTTACGACCAGTGTCATTTAAACAAAATAGAATAATAAAAATCAATATTTAGATTTTAGATTTTATTCAATAGCATACATACATAAGTTCATAAGTTTAATGTATGGTGTATCTATTCTTATTGCCCGCTAAGAAATTTAGGAAACTAATGGCGGCTATCAGTATACCTTATCAGTATGGCCACACTATGTCTATCAAGTCACTATACACGGAACATACACGGCGGCTGCGATTGCACTCGGACAATTGGAAGACGACATAGCGTGGCGGAATTGTTTGGATGAATCCGCGTTGGTGGACACGCCGCGGCAACTGCGGTATCTGTTCGTCACTATACTGGTG